CAAACAACTTCGGCACACGTTGCTAGTAGCACCACACAAATGACGTGCAATCCCCTCCGTGTCGGGACCTGTCTTCTCCCGTTAGACCGATCGGTTACTTTTTCGATAATAAAATAACTCCATCATCCAAATAATCCATTAGTCCTCTGTTTTTTTAATCTAGCGCCGATGTTCCTTTTGACCGGAATCAACTTTCCGGACGGAAGCGGTGAGTATGATTAACGGCATTTTTCCTCCGATATTTTTCGTGCTTGAGGTATTCCAAAGCATTACATCCTCGAATCTTGTTGAGGCTCCCGAACAGCGAGACGTGGCCTTGCAATTTTGTCATCTGGTTTCCTCCGTGGTATTTGACAATGATCTCAGGCTCAAGAAGAATCACGATCTTGGTTCACGTGAATAGATGAAAAACTGCTCACCGCCTTTAATCAGGATTGGTGACTCTTCAGGCGTAATTGAAATTGGCCTTAGAGTATGATATGTTGTTTGTTGATGCCACATGCCGAGGTCTTGATGAATAATGCTTTAATAGATGGCTGAATAAATACCAAAGATCGTCCCTTTTGTTGTAGATGAAAAATTCGGACTCTCCGTGATTTGGAAGCTAATAGAATATCCATAAAGCATCGACTTCCAATCGAACGATTATGGTCCCACCGGCGCGTGCCAAAAAGTGTGTTGACACAAAATGTGACGCGACTGCATGCGCTTTTACATGCAAGCCAAAAAAAGCGTAGCTTCAATCGGGTGCCCGGGTGCTTCGTGATCCGAACGTGCGGTCGGTTTGACCCGAAAAAAGCCCGACAAGGGATAAAACAGTTAAATGTCAAACGGAACATGTCGGGTGAGACCAGACGATTCCGTATATACGCCCTCGAAGCCACTTACAACGACATACGACTATAGGAAGTCATGCGCCAACAAGTTTATAAATCATTGGCTAATCGTAGGATGGACATACGTAAAGATCTCGATTGCCGAATGCATATACATGGGAAGACATGTTTGAACAAGTGAAATTGATTATGCGTTAATGCATATCCAAGCTCAAACAATCCGGCCGAGTTGGGGTCCATGAAGAAGGAGCGTGTAGATAAACACGATTAAGCCAATCTAAAACTGCAAATGCCGCGACGACACCTAGTTTCATCAAAAACTTAAGCGTGATTAACATACATGAACCCACAACATGTGACAATCTAGATTAAAATAATTCAGCCATTACGAGCATGTTATCTATTTGCAAAGGTATTATGAAAGTAATGATCATTGAAGCTCGAATAAAACCATAGAAGAGGGCCGAACAATATCAATCTAGATTGGGCAAAAGTGTGTTACAAATATATAAAATATTTAAAACATGCAACACAGGATAACTTGATGAATCTATTTAGATTTTGCCGTAATCTAATAGAGCCGATAACCATCTTGCTTCCACTAAGCATATTGAGCAAACGCACGCATTACGGTATCTACTCATAAACAAAGTATAAGCAAAGACTTCTTGATTGTCAAGCAAAGATCCGCCATACGATCATTGAAAACAAACAAGACTACTTGCATCACGTCTAAATCCACCGCATGATACTAAACATGATAACAAGGTTGTCGGAACTTACGGAGGTCGACGGATCGATGACTCCTCTCGAAGAACTCGGACGACCACGACAAAAGGACTCGAAAGTTGGCACGGGGCGGTTGTATTGATTTGGTTGTGAACGCCTATTACAATGGTCGAGGGTCAATATTTATACCCTAGACGAAACACGAGTCCTAAAGACTACGATTTACAAAGGAACTCTTAAACAAACTTGGAAACTACGATTCCTTGCCCCAAACTCTCGAGTCCTTTATTATTACAACTTTCATCTTTTCGATCGGCTTTGCTTGCCATCTTCTGCTTTCCCGAATGGAGTCACCACCTTCCAGAATAACCGACCGCACAAGCATTTAGCCGACCGCTCGTTTGTTTGCCGAATGTCCTTCTTCCCACATGCGGACCCACCTGTCATCTTCCAAAGTCGACCAAAATCCAGTGTTAACACCATGCAAGCAATGTATTCTCGAGAGTCCCGTGCAAACACAACTTCCCTTTTCTTGACCAGCCGATCTTGGAAATCTTCTCCACAGTGGCCTGGTAACATGTACGATATATATTTGCTTGGACGCATCTTTATTGGCTTGCATCTTCACTAATCACTACGTCGGCAAACTGAGGATCGTATTATTTCCTTCATGCATGGACTCTTTCTTTAATCAAGAAGCTTCACGTCTCCATCCAAAGATATATTTGATTTATTTCCTTATGCAGCCCGGCCAAACAATTATTAAAATATCCCTTCCTCGTTAACTGATCTTAATCTTGCTGGCATCCATGTCAAGCATAGCTCGTATAGCACTTGGCCTCTCATCCTTTTCCATTTGCCTTGCCGGTTGCCCAATAATGCATCACGTATATGTAACAAACAAGATGGTAGGCACATCAGAACTGTCAGCTGTTTGACCTTTTGCTGCTCCCCATTAATTTCTGAGCATGAATGACTCCATCGTATATATCTCATCGGCTTTCGAGTCATGGTCATTATCGGAGATTTTCTTCTTTTTACGTTACCAGCCGCTTTCTTCCCAATTACCAAATTTTGATGTCAACACATACCTTGTTTTACAAACTGACACGGTGGACTGGTGGAGCACCAGAATCAGACCTCATTTCCAATCAATCTTATTGTAGCTGATTGATAGCAATGCTAGCTGTTGCCACTGTCCGCCGTGCGATGCTCGCCAGGTAAGAGTATTATTTTGGTCGTGATGCGCTCGCGTTCTCGATCCGATCCACGGCGGTGCCTTGCTCTGCAGATAGCCTTGCAGTTGCAGCTTGCGGCAAAAGGGCGCAACTGCGCAAGTCAGCTAGCGTGTTTCCCATTTCCAGCCTGGGCCTTGATTAGTTCCCTTTAAAATTCCAAGTTTTTTTACTCTCTCTCCATCACATCAATTTTTAACCGTTTGTATGGAGTATTAAATGTAGGTAAAAAAAAAACTAATTATACAGTTTAGTTAGAAATCATGAGATGAATCTTTTAAGCCTAGTTGGTCCATGATTAGACAATATTTATCAAATAAGACGAAAATAATACTATTCATTAAGTTGAAAAAACTTTCAATCTAAACATGGCCCTGCTCAGCGGCGGCGGCGGACCGGTGGGAAAAGGCATAAAACCAGGGGAGGGGACAAAACAGAGTCTTCTATGTAAGCATTCGCCAGCCGCAAACCCGCCCACAGGAGGAAGAGGAACCGGCCACCGGGCCAGGCTGCTGTGGGCTGAGACCCGCTGGTTTCCTTCTAGATTGCCGGACATGGTCTGATTCTTCTAGATTGCCGTTAATTTAACAGGCTTTCCAAGGGAGCTGCTGTTTTTGTTTTTTTCCTCTCGCTGCAGGAGGATGATGAAGACTAAAGAGAGTTGAAAATGTACCCCTAAGCTTTGTTTAAAAATCATTAGGCCATCTCTTTGTTTTTTTTTCTTTCAATAGAAATCGCGGTAAATCTTTACCGCCACTTTGACAGAAATTCTACGTATAATACTCTACCAAAACACCATTCATGACGTAGGCACCGAGGAGGAAGACTGCTGGCACGCACCAAACAAACGCCGGGTTGCAAAAACACCGGTTGATAAATTCCAAAACGAAATCGACAACTAGAGAACCAAACGAATCTGCCCCAACCTTATTCGCAAAATGCAAAACAAAGCGCCAAAACGGAGATTCGATCTTCGGACATCTCACACATGAATCAGTAGCCTTAGCCACCAGATTAGAGAAGTGTTCACGTCTATAATAGTGTTTTCCTTTATTTATCTCTGACTCAATATTAATGAAGAATATATATCCCATTCTTCCACGGGGAGTCCGTGAGTCTTCGCACATGCGCCGCCGGCTGCTCCCGATTGAACGCCGCCCGGCCGCCCAACGAATGCTCCCGTCGCCCCTCAGCTCCGCCTCCGCGCCTATGTGCTCCTCCTCCGTGGCGAGCTCCTCCTTCTCCACATCTTTTCTGTGCTTCTGATTGGGAACCGGGCGCAGCGGCACTCCGGTAGATCCATCCGCGACTGTCTGCCCCGACCCTGCTTGGCAGCTGGGCAGTGGGCGCTGCCAGGTGCGCGGCCCCCAGCCAGTGCCCACTGCCCCGAGCGTCTACACTGCTGCTCAGATCCCAGCGCCCTTGCAGCCCCGCCCCTACTGCACACGGGATATCTAACTATTTGCCACTCTTATGGTGGCTGCCTCTCCGTTTGCCAACTTTATCGTGCCAATTACAAAATTACCCGAGAAAACAGTAACCAGACTAATATTTTGCCATTTTCGCTGACGTGTCATGCCATATCAGCGCGCCAGCGTGGAAGTTAACGCCTCCGTCTCCGCTGACCAACGGCGCCCGCAACTGTCCGTCTCCGCTGATCAAAAGCACAGTACGGTACAGAACTGATGGTGGATGGATCGGACGCCTAAGCTAAGCAGCTGCTGTGGATCCATCATCTGGTTTGTTTGTTGGACTTGTTGCTTGTGGTCTGAGGTCTCTATCTTTTCTTGGCTTACCTTACCTTGGAGTGTCAAGCAAATCCAAAAGCAGCAGCCCAACAAGTGGGGTCAACAATGGTCTGCAGCGGCCTCCACATAGTTCCACAAGCCAAAAGAAATCTCTCTGAGGAATGGCGACGGCGACGATGGCAAGGACGCTTCTCTGTCGCTCGCGCCTTCCGGCGTCCGTCTTCTCCGATGCGTGTACGTCCATGCAGGCACTACACTGCTCTAGCTTCCTCTCTCTTGTTCACGTTGTTGTTGTCATGTCAGAATATACTAGGAGTATACGAAACCATGCGTGTGTGTGTGTGTCTGAAAACTCTGAAGATAAGATGCTTGGCAGACAAGCGTCCGAGCTGGGTGCCATCTTGCTTGTCTTCCTCCTCTTCTTCTCGTCCTAGCTCATGTGTAGTGCTGCCATGTCAACAACGTCCTTCCTTCCCTCGACGCAGCCCAACCGGCTGTTCGTGCACTCCGCCACCTCCCACGGCCTCGTCAGCAACGACACCAAGGCGCTGGTGGCGGGGCTCCCGCAGCGGACCATCTTCGACGCGCTCCACGACGAGGGCTTCTCCTTCGGCATCTACTACCAGTACCCGCCGTCGACGCTCTTCTACCGGAACCTCCGGCAGCTCAAGTACGCGGGCAGCTTCCACGCCTTCGACCTCGACTTCCGGCGTCACTGCCGGGAGGGAAAGCTGCCCAGCTACGTCGTCGTGGAGCAGTGCTACTTCGACCTGGAGATCCTCCCGAGGAACGACGACCACCCGTCCCATGACGTGGCCGAAGGCCAGCGGTTCGTCAAGGAGGTGTACGAGGCGCTGCGGTCGGGGCCGCAGTGGGAGGAGACGCTCCTCGTCGTCACCTACGACGAGCACGGCGGGTTCTACGACCACGTGCCCACGCCCGCCGGCGCCGGCGTCGTGCCCAGCCCCGACGGCATCGTCAGCGCCGCGCCTTTCTTCTTCGGCTTCGACCGCCTCGGCATCCGCATCCCGACGCTGCTCGTGTCGCCGTGGATCGAGCCGGGGACCGTGCTGCATAGGCCGTCGGGGCCATACCCGACGTCGGAGTTCGAGCACTCCTCCATCCCGGCCACCGTCGAGAAGCTCTTCAACCTCAGGAGCTTCCTCACCAAGCGCGACGCCTGGGCCGGCACCTTCGACTGCTTCCTCACGCGCGACACGCCGCGCACCGACTGCCCACGTACGTCACTAGTAGTAGTAGCTAGTGTGTTGTGACAGACATGCATGACTGACACTGATACTGATGATGTGCGTGCGTGCATGCAGTTACCCTGCCTGAGCCAGTGAAGCTGCGGCGGACGGCGGCCGCGGAGCAAGCCCCGTTGTCGGAGTTCCAGGAGGAGCTGGTGCAGCTCGCCGCGGTGCTCAACGGCGACCACACCAAGGACTTGTACCCGCACAAGCTCGTGGAGGGGATGACGGTGGCGGAGGCGGCCAGGTACTGCGTCGACGCCTTCAAGGCCTTCCACGACGAGTGTGAAAAATGCATGAAGCGCGGCGAGGACGGCTCCCACATCCCCACGGTGAAGCCGTCGTTGTCGGGGAAGGACAAGGACAAGAGCAAGAGCAGCTTCGTTTCCAAGGCGCTGGCTTGCCTCCCCTGTGCCCGTCCCTCGTGACCTCTCTGATGACTGATGATGCTTGCGTCCAGGCATCAGAAATTTCCATTCAGAATCGGCTGGTGAGTAAGCAGTTCCTGTTCTTCTTGCAGTTGCAGGCCGGGGAATAGGGAAGGAGGCTGATAAGCCGGGAATAGGGAAGGAGGCTGATAAGCAGAGAGATGGGGACTGACGGGAGCTGCTAGCGCCATTTAGCTGGGCAGACGGGGACGTCAAGTTCCATGCTGGCACGCTCAAGTGGCGTGCCACGTCAGTGAAAATGGCAAAATATTAGCAAAGTTACTGTTTTCTCGGGCAATTTTATAATTGGCACGATAAAATTGGCAAACGGAGAGGCAGCCACCATAAGAGTGGCAAATAGTTAGATATCCCACTGCACACAGCTCACAGGAGTCACGGTGAGTATCGATTTCGGATTTTGATTTTATCGTATGCAATCAATAAGAATAGTATTCATATTCATTCAAGATAATAATCATGTCAGCTTCTCAATAAATTCAGCATACCATGTGCTAAGAAAATTTACCATGTGCTCAATCAGAATAATATTTATATTCACACATGATTTTATAGCTGCAGCTTGCTAATGTATATATACTTCAAGCTTAGTTTCTAAGTTATTTAAATGTTCTGCAGATGGACAGAAGTTGGATCAATAGTAGGCTATTTGGCAAGCCACATCTGGACGGGTCAATGAGTTCATGAAGCTTGTTTCAGAAAACTTTGGTGCGGATGAACAGATACTCTGTCCATGCCGTAGGTGTTTGAATCGGATTTCTGGACATAAAGGACTGGTGGAGGATCACTTATATATTTATGGAATGGCTAGCACGTACACTAGGTGGATCTATCATGGAGAACCAATGGAGGACACAATGATTGAAAATACTGGCCATCAGGATGAACAGATTGATTTCACCACGGATGTTAATTTGAATGAGGTTGAAGAAGCCGACCCTAATGATAGAATTCCTGATGTGGTACAGGAGTTGTTCACATCTGAAGAAGAGGGTCGAAGGAAAAAATCAATGTTTGCTATACTATTAGAAGAGATGAAGCAAGAACTTTACCCTGGTGCAGCTTATTCAAGATTTTCTTTTGTGGTGAAATTACTTCATATCAAGTCATTTTATCGAATCAGTAATGTTGCATTTACTGCATTCGTGAAGTTCTTAGCAGATGCATTCCCACATTGCTCTATTCCTGCATCTTACGAGGAAGCAAAGAAACTTATTCGTGCTTTGGGACTTGGATATAATACAATCCATGTGCGCCCGAATAACTGTGTATTGTTTCGAAAGAATTATGCAGCACACGATGTGTGTCCAGTATGTAGCGCATCAAGATGGAAAGATAAAGATGGAAGGAAAAAAATCCTGAGAAAGTATTGCGTCATTTTCCATTGATTCCAAGGCTGAAAAGGATGTTTGCTTCCAAAGAAATATTTGAATTGGCACAATGGCATAAGTTGAAAAGAAATGCAGTGGAGAATGAGCTCAGTCACCCAGCTGACGGTGAGGCATGGAAAGCATTTGATACTAAATATGCTTGGTTTGCCCAAGATGCAAGAAACATTAGACTTGCCCTTGCTACAGATGATTTTAATCCATTTGGCAAAATGAACTCCTCGTACAGTATGTGGCCTGTATTTCTTATCCCTTACAACTTTCCACCATGGGAATATATGGAGCAATCGAACTTCATCATGGGCTTACTCATCCCTGGTCCATTATGCCCTGGAAAGGACTTCGATGTATTTTTGGAGCCACTCATTGAAGAGTTGCTAGATCTTTGGAAAGGTGTCCCTACTTTGGATGCATTGACTGACAAATCTTTTGATCTACATGTTGCAGTTATATGGTGCATTCATGATTATCCAGCTTTGAGCACATTGTCAGGTCGAGTCACAAGAGGCTATTATGCTTGTGTCCGTTGTGACAAAGATCCTTGCTCTAGAAGAATAAGGAATAAGATATGCTATGTTGGCCATCGGCGCTTCCTTCCAAGGGACCATCCATGGAGGAAAAAGAAATGGTTTGATGGAAAGGACGAAGAACATGACAAGCCAGAAGAATTTAGCAGTGATGAGTTGAAGCAGCAATTGGAGAGGGTCATGGGTGTTAGACCTGGGATGCATCCTCAGAACAAAAAGAGGAAGAGGGGAGAAATTGGTCAATGTTGGAAGCTAAGGTCATCTTTGTGGGATTTGCCATATTGGTCGAGTTTGAAGCTGCGTCATAATCTTGATGTTATGCATATCGAGAAAAACATATGTGAGTACATTCTTGGTACATTTCTCGGCATTGCTGGCAAGACAAAGGACACCACTAATGGTAGGCTTGATTTGGAAGACATGGGCAAAAGGAAAAACTTGCACTTGAAGCGTGATGGAAATTCATATAGTGTTCCACATGCCCCCTATGTATTAAATAAAACACAAAAACTTGCTTTTTGTGAATTTTTGAGAAGTGTAAAATTCCCAGATGGATATGCTTCTAACTTAGCATCATGTATCAGTGTTGATGGATGCAACCTCCAAGGATTGTAAACTCACGATTGCCATATACTACTACAAAGGATTTTACCCGCTGCTGTTCGAGGAATCTTGCATAAGGACATATATGAAGCAATTAGTGAATTGGGTAACTTCTTTTAGAAATTATGTGCTAAGACTTTGAAGATAGATGTTTTGCATAGAATGAAAGATGAAATCCCAATCATTTTGTGCAAGCTGGAGAGAATATTTCCTCCTCCTTTCTTTGATGTGATGCTACACTTGGCTGTTCATTTACCTGATGAAGCAATCCTAAGAGGTCCGGTACAATATGGATGGATGTACCCAGTAGAAAGAAGGTTGTATACTTTGAAACGTTTTGTTAGAAACATGGCAAGACCAGAAGGATCCATTGCAGAAGCATATGTCGCTAAAGAGTGTTTGATGGCTTGCTCGAGGTATTTTGATGATGTTGACACACGATACAATCGAGAGGGTAGAAATAGAGAGCGTGTTGATTTGAGAATAGGTGATCTATCGGTTTTCTGTCATGGAGTTCATCTACTTAGAACCCCGAAGATTACATATCTTGAACATGATTATGACAAAATGGTTTGGTTTGTGCTAAATAATTGTCCGGAGGTTGAGCCATATATCAAGTATGTCATTATGGATAGTTTATTTTTTTTATGCAACCTACTAATTATGAGGTCTTACTTTTTGAATTAACTGTGGTTCATAATCGTAGTATGTACAAGGAGTTGGAGAATGAAGGAATTCGAGATGTTGAAAAAACACTTGAGAAGCAATTTTCCTCCTGGTTTAAGAAACATGTAAGTTTGAAATCCATTCTTCAATTTCGAGCATTATTAGTTGTATTGGTTTTTACTGTGTTGCATATATGCTTGTGCAGATTGCGAGACTACGTTACGTTGAGGAAGAAGACATCAACGATGAGCTACTTTCATTGTCATGTGAACTAGATCTGCGGGTTCGAATATTTTCAGCATGTCTTGTTGATGGTGTTCGGTACCACACTATCGACCGTGAGAAAAATAGAACAACACAGAATAGTGGAGTCATGGTCGAGGGTACACATAATGAAGAGTATATTGATTTTATGGTTGCTTGAAGGAAATAATTGAGTTGAGGTACACTGCGCCCGTCGGACAGTGGTTCTATTTCGATGTGATTGGTTTGACACTTATGGCAAGAAAGTTAGAATGAAAGATGATGGACTTTTCGGAAGCATCAACCATGGCACTATCTGGTACAAGAATGATCCATTTATTCTAGCAACACAAACAACAAAGGTCTTTTACTTAAATGATACCAAGCATGGTGAGAGCTGGAGGGTTGTTCAAAAATTTACACATAGGCACTTGTGGAGTGTGCCTGAAAACGACAATGAGGAAATACCCAATGGCGTGGAGCTGTCATACCAAGATGATAACAATGCAGATTTTCATGTTCAAGTAAATGAGGAAATTTTGGCTGATGAAGGAAATTTGGAGAATGAGCATCCAGATGATGAAGATTGTTTAAATGTCGATGCAAGTGTAGTAGGTGAGCTTCGTAGACAAAGGGAGCAGGATGTGCTAGAAAATGAGCTAAGCGATGATGAAGATGAAACTAGGTGGCAATATGTCAGTGATAATGAAGGTCCAACAATCCCTGATGATGATGATGACTATAGTGAAGATGAGTGAGTCATCTCGGTCATCCTGGTATGGGAAGCCTGCTGTTTTTTTCTTTAATTTGGATTTGCATTAAACTTTATAAGAATTCTGAGATTTTGTTCAAAATATCTTAATGTATGCAGGTGATGGTTGATCTGCTTGGATGAGCTCTCTGTTTTATCATTAGGACTAGTTTTCAGTGGTTTCCTAAACAGTATCAGTATGTACTGCAATATTGTTATGACGATTTATGGCTCCTGGTTGTGGAGTCGTTAGATTTGTGCCTCCTGGTTTTGGAGTTGTGTTATCTGTATATGTGTCCTGCACTATGCACAATTACCACACCTCAGTTCTTGAAGTTGTATTTGTGCTGACAGTAAAATTTTGGACAGGAGGAAAGGTCCTGCAATGTGCAAAAATTTGTTTCAGATTTTTTTTTTCATTCCAGATACATAGATACATGATGTCCATTCCTGTGACATACAAAAGCTATACTCAAATCAGCAATATGGACTAATTGATTTTGGTTTCGAGACCTATAATATTTTTTTACTTTATTTATTTGTGCGTTCTTATTATTCCGTAATATATTTTTATGCGTTCTTTGTATGACTCTGGTTCAGTATGCAAAAAAGATTAATCTTGATTTTTGTTTTCTTGTGTTATGCATATGAGGTTATGCAGGTTTCACAGAATGTGCCTTGCGACACCATCGTTGCTAATGGAGGAGCAAGAGGTTCAAAGAGAGTGCGAGCACCTGATGAACAAGGCCAAAATCAACCTCCTAGAGTGACTAGGCAGAGGACAAAGGAACTGATTCGAAGCGAGGAAGGCGTCCATGCTGCAACTACAACTATACAAGAAGATGCATTGACTATTGCCAATTGTCTTAACCAAACTGACCATGATACAGAAATGCGCAAAGAAGGCAAGAAAGCAATACTCCTTTCTCCAAGAATATGGTTTACACATTTGCATATTAAAATGGTTTGCACTAGCTATTTAACAATGCCACTTATTTCCGTGTCAATCAAATCACACTTTGTAGATCAATGGAATAAAGGAAAAAGCATGGGCAGAGACTTGGATCGCATAAGCCGAGGCTTAAACACTAGGATTCGGTGGTCATTCTTTGAAGGAAGAAATGACCCGAGCCACCAATGCAAGCTGCAAAGTTGGCATCGGAGGGGGATTATACTAAGGCAACATATCCCAATCTTTACACACTTTGGAAGGAGTACAAGGATATCAAGAACAAGGATATTCTTCCGGGCTACATGGGCAAAATTTCGTAAGTGGATAAAGGCTATATGTTCAGTTTTTATCGGGTGTGCATGATCTATGTTTACTCCTATATATGAGTAATATTTTTCGCCTCCAGTAGTATATGACAAGGAGCTTAACTGTTAACATTATGCTAGGACTGCCAATATATTTTTTACGCCTCAATCTTTACATGTTCTTTTATTTCGATTGATGTTGTAATGATCCGTTTAACTTACATCATTTGTAAGCACCACCATAAAGTTTATCTCGTAGTATTATCTACTTGAAATCTTTGGCATGTTTGTTTATTTTGAGTGCCACTGCCAATATATAGTAAACTGAAATGAAGCGGAAAGCAAGAAAGTGTGTTCTCTATTTCTCACCACATTCTGAAAATTTAGAACCTTCCATAAACATTTTGTCCCTGCTACTTTTCTATTGACTGCCAATTTAGAACCTTGTGCTTTGCATTGTGATTTTCTAAAGTTTCCTGTCAGGTTAATGTTAAAAATTTTCTATCACATTATATACTTCTAACACCTATTTTTTGATGCACATGCTCTTGACATGTTTGTCGACTAGAATCAATTAGCAATTGATCTTGACGACAAGCAGATCGAAGAGGCATGTGCTGATTTCTCAGATGGAACACGGCAAATGAGGTATAATTTGAAGAAGCTTTACTTCAATGGTGTACCAACAGACAAAGTTAGAACAACATCACCATTGAAGAGTATGGTGATGGTCAATGGAGAGAGTTGGGGGAGATGTGGTCAAGCCCAAAGCAAGGCATGTTGGTCAATTGCTTTCTTAAGCCATTTATTTTTCTTGCATTGGTTTGTTGCATGTTTGAGTTTATTTCTTCGTATTGTACACCAATTTGATTGTGTCTAAGATTCTATAGCTATGTTATATTGAATTTGTATCTGATGAGGCCATCCTTATAATTATACCTGAAGTTGCTTGGCTTGTTACCACGATAATTGTGTGCTCATTAGATATTAATGAGCCTATTGGGCTACACTCAATACAAGCTGCAGACTCATTATATTTTAGCGACAACATATAGGGTTGTGTTGCAGTTGGTCTTCCGAATAGGGCACAATCTTTGGTTGTGATTACTTTCATTTTTAAAACTGTTTTAGGTTAATAACTTGTTGTGGACATAAATTCAACTACACTTAAAGAGTGTTGATGTTTGTTGAATATCTTAGCAAATCTGGTTTCAAATTCAACTAATTTTTATCTCTCTCTATAGCCATTCTTCACCTTACTAAATTGTTCCTCACAGGACAAGTGTGCAAAAAATGCACTTAACCGTGAGAAAGTAAGGTTTCATCAAATGACAGGATCTCGGTGCTATATTGCGACAACCCATGCCTTGGTAATATATGGAAACATTGTGTTACAATCATTCATCATTGAACAATTATTCTTATAATCTTACACCTACAAAATGTTTGTGAATAATTTTAGAAATAAGAGAAATATAAAGATGAACCACCCAAAGGCGATAGATCTTTTCAAGGCGCTACATTGGCTGACAAAGACTGGATTTAATGAGTACGCAAAGGAAGCTATTGTAAGTACAAGCTCCATTTTGAACTATATATAGCTCTGAACAAATGTTCTTGGTTTTAGTTGAGTCCGTAATGTGTACATGCTTCCTGCTTTGTTACTTGTGAGAGACAGAACAACAACTTGTTCATGTGTAGCAACAACTTCTTATTCATGTGTAGCAACAACTTGTACATGCTTCCTGCTGTTCCAAGGAACAATGATCAATTGTTGCATGTGTAGCAGCAGCTTATTCATGCTAATCTGGCAAGATTGTACTGCATGATGTCACCGCTGTCCGAAACCCTCTTAATAGCACATGTAAACTTGTAGAACTTTGCCAAAACAGAAATATTCCCAAATTCCCAACTTGTATTGTAATGAGTCATCATCCCAAACTGTAGTGTAATAGTTTGTAGCATAAATGATCTCACTATATTGAATCGGGAAGAGTCATACATGTCATGCTCAATTATGGTAAAATATTCAGTTGGAAAAATATTTTCGTGCTTTAAATGGCCTTTAATGTGAACCTTGATTGAACATCTGTTTTACAAAACCTGCATTCACTTATTTGAGCAACACTACTCTCAATTATGACCACCTTTTCTGTTGGTTTTAAATATACTAGTCGATAATTAATTTCAGAACTGTCTTACTTGATATGTTGATGTTTTTAGGCTGAAATGGAATCCATCATTCTCAAGACTTTTTGAGAAGACGGCCAAGTTTTAAAGACCCCCTGCTGAAATTGTTGCTCAAGTGTTGCCGAAATTAAAATTTCTTCAAAATATTGGCCTTCAGCTAGCAGCCCCAAGAGAAGCTCCAACGCCATTAATGATGCACGGGTTATAGAACTTGAAACCGAAGTTGCAATTTGGAAAGCAAGACAAAGAAGAACTAAAGGATGAGATGGAGACTTTGAAGAAGAAGGTGGAGGAATCGAGGAAAATAAAAGACGCAGTGTTAGAAGAGACAGAGCAGTTGAAGAAGGCACAAGATGAGTTGAAGAAGGCACAAGGCGAGGGCGAATGCTTTCTTTCGTCGCATGTTCAAAGAAAGAGTAAGGCCATTCCTTTAACTCTGTAAGTTTGCGAGATGCATATGGTTGGGACGTCCCGATTTTGGAACTTGGCTACTCATACCATATTATTTTATGCTACAAACATTTGGTAGTGCTATTACATGAGACTTGGCTGATCTAGTTTAGATTATGCTACAAATATTGGTAGTGCTATTATTTTGAGATATACGATCTGGTTCGAGACCATATTAATTTCTGCTATGTATCTTGTTAGTGTTGTCTTTTGCTATGTGAAAATGTGTTATCCGGGATTTGTAAAATTACCGATGGATGTGATCATATTTATCTATCCTTTGGAATGAGATCTGGATGATCGATGAATGTGTATGGGTTGTGATGCATCTACGGATTATATATGTGAATGAGATTCTGGATGATTTGATGAATGCATTAAGGGCTTTGATTGATGAATGTACAAATTATATATGCGCTGTTATGTAATGGATGTCGAAATGGGCTGTTATGAAATGGAAGTTGAAATGAGCTGATTATGTATGGATGATGAAAAGGTTGTTTTCTCTACATGTTTAAATGGGCTAGGCCTTTTCTGGCCCACTAAATAAATAGGCCGCAAAAAAATTGTCCTAGAAATTGATGTTAATTTTACTTATATAAATGGGCTTTGCAAATTATAAATTTGGCTCACAATTATATTTGGTCTAATAAAAACCCTGCTTAGTACATGGGCCTAGCTAGGCCTTAAGATATTTAGTGACGACTTTTTAATCGGGTCGTCATAAAAAATTACGATGAAAAAATATGCAGTGGTCATAGAATAAGGTTTACCACGCATGATCCATGACAAATGGTTTATCGTCATGCAGTCATCATAAATACATTTGCTATGAAAAAAATATTAGAAATAATGATGATAACAGGTCGTCATAGATCCTAAGATTTCTTGTAGTGTGACGAAGTGTAAGCTCAAACATAAAATTGGCACACATCCAGTACCTCTGTCTATAGTGTCCTCTTCATTGGACTTGGCTACCTTGCAAGGATCACCGCACCAACACATGGGCACTGGAACACCACTAGACAGAGGCAATGGGTCGAAGGCATTTTCGATCATCCGGCCACAACTACAATTGAACCAAATTTGTTCTAAGAACCGAAAGCAATGAACATTAAACCATAAACCTAGGGGTTTTCCATTTGTTGCACATAAATGAAAACATAATATAACACGATGATAAGAGATTATCTTGGCTTACTAGCTTTACCACGTCTTAGCATCCTACCGTTACATAATACAAAAAATAAAAAATTACTTCAAACATTAGATAATAATGTATCTAGGGTTGCAAAATAGACGTAATATATACCAAATCAATGTGTAAAAAATGATAAGAGGAGAGAGGATACCTTGCTCGCGAAGATGTGTGGATCAAATCCAAGTTTCTAAGGTCAAATTCGTCGATTCAAAAGAATGGGCGGGTTAGGGAGAGGAAGAACCCGAGAGAAAGGAGGAAGAAATAAAAGCAGCCTCGACAAGGGAAACTTGGCCGTGGATTTTGAATCTATGCTCGGCGTCAGGATCCATGACTCCGAGCTCGGAGCCGAGATCTATGGCTCCAAGCTCGGCGCCAAGATCTGTGGCTCCGAGGTACCGGCCACGTCAACGCCACCTATGATGCCCTGCTGTGCGCGGCCAGGCACCTCGGAGCTAAGATCTGTGGCGTCGAGACGTGTTACCTCGGAGCCATGAGTCCTGGCGCCGACCCCAGTGTGAAAGATGAGTTTACGTCTCAAGGGGGCCGAACGTAATTTTTCTTAAAAAAGGGCTGAATTACAAAAAAAATTGAGCCTCGTCTGGACGCAGTGCCAGCCGTGCGTCGCCTGCTACGACCAGGCCCTACCTTACTTTGACATGTCAAACTCCAGCACGTTTGCGTCGTTCCCTTGCAACTTCTCGACGTTCCAGCAGCAGCTGCCTTGGACGTCGTGTGGCACCGGCACACCCCAAGCTTGGGGCAACCAGACATGCGTCTACACCTACTTGTACGCTGACATGTCTATGACAAGCGGGCTCCTCGCCGCAGACACGTCCACATTTGACGGCGGCGCGGCCGTGGATGGCCTGGCCTTCGGATGCGGCTCCTTTAACCAAGGACTGCTCGACTTCAACTCGTCCGGTACCGGCATCACCGGCTTTGGCTGCGGCGCCCTGTCCCTTTCGTCGCAGCTCAAAGTCGACAACTTCTCGTACTGCTTCACCAACATCACGGGGTCCACGCCCAGCGCCGTGCTGCTCGGCCTACCGGTGAACCTCTACGGCAGCGGCGGCGGCGGCGCAACCGTGCAGATTACCCCGCTCAACATGACATCGACTTTCTCCTACTACCTAAATCTACAGAGCATCACGGTGGGGTCAACGACGCTGCAGGTGCCGATGTCCACGTTCGCGTTGAAGGACGACAGCATCACCAGCGGGACGATCATTGACTCCGACACCTCGATCACGCTGCTTCCGTCGACCGTCTACAGCCTCCTTCATGACGCCTTCGTCTCCCAGCTGAATATGATGCCCGTGGCCGTCAGTGTTGGCCCACGGGATCACCGTCTGACGATAGTGAACTAGTCTCCAGACCACTAGTCTCCCAGACCAGACCACTAGTCTCCCAGACCACTAGTCTCCCAGACCACTATACCGGTTGTGTCCGTACCCACACACTATGGATCGAGCTAGAAGAAGAAGGGAGAACAAAGCAAACACGGCACAAAAAAGGCCAACATTGTTGGCCGAGCCCTGTACGTGTGATGGCAAATCAGAGCTCTCTTTATTGAGTTGCCTTGGTGCCCTATTTATACAACTCTATCTATCTAACTAAAATCACAGCCGCACATCTTTATGTGATAACTAGATAAGCATACAGTGACTGACTCTGCGGCCTCTACATGTGCCTCTGATCTTTGTGAGGTGAGCCGTGCTGGCTACCGCACTGCAGCTGCCACTCTGATACAAAGCGAGGGGCAAAGTCGGCGCCGCCTTCCTCTCTGTGTGTTTCACACAAGGTGGCGATAGATTAGCTAACAATCTTCCCCTAATCCTATCGCTAACCCTTGCACCCCTCCATGCCGATCATCTCCTTCACTCCGTGAGTCGAAGTCGTCCGAAGCGGTTTGGTGAGGATGTCTGCGAAGCCGCCGAAAGCGATTTCGACGAACTTCGATGACGATTTGCCCTCCATCAACATAGTCCCACGAGGAAGTGGAACTTTACGTCGATGTGTTTACTTCGATGCGTGCGAACCGGATCCTTCGCTAGGGCGATGGCGGGCTGGTTGTCCACCATCGTCTTTGGTGGGTGAGCTTCCACGCCGATCGATCGCCTAACCTAATTGGCGTAGCCACACAACAACTTGGCACGCCGTTGTGGCCGCCGCCACTCATACTCGCCTCTCACATAGATAGCGCCACCACCTTCGCTTTGGCGACAACCATGAAATTGGGGCCGACCCGAGGAAGACGAAGTACGCCAGAGGTGCTCCATCGTCCGTCGATGTCCCCGCCATGTCGCATCATTTGAACACCGTGAGCCGCAGCCTACTTCGGTCTTTGGGAAGATGATTCCATGATTCACCGTCCCCTTGACGTAGCGTAGTAGCCGCTTCACCGCAGCCCAGTGATCCTCTCTGGGATCCTCCATGAAGCGACTGACGTAGCCCACGGCGAACGCAATGTCCGGCCTTGTGTGGACTAGGTAGCGTAGACCGCCGATGATGCTCTAGTAGAGTGTTGCATCTACTTTCACCGCGGTGCTGTCCTTCGTCAATTTCAGCCGCTCCTCCATCGGAGTCACGCATGGCTTGCACTCTACTATGCCGCTCCTCTCCAATAGCTTGGAGGCATACGCGCTTTCCCGAGCGTGAGTTCCTCCTTCCCCTATCTCACCTCGATGCCGAGGTAGTAGGAGAGAGCGCTGAGATCGCTCATTCGGAAATGAGCTGCCATCTCTCGCTTGAAGTTGTTGATATCCTCTGTGCACGCGCCGGTGACGATTAAGTCATCCACATACACGCCGACCACGAGTTCTTCCTTCCCCCGTCATCGCGTGTAGAGCGCGTGCTCGGTTGCGCACCTCTGAAACCCAAGCTCGCCCAGCGTGGTGTCAAGCTTGGCGTTCCATGCTCGAGGGGCTTGTCGCAGCCCGTAGAGCGCTTTGCGCAGTCGGAGCACCCTGTGCTCCTCTCCCTTGACAGCAAACCCTGGAGGTTACCTGACGAAGACCGTTTCCGCCAGCTCGCCGTTGAGGAAGGCCGATTTAATGTCCAAGTGATGGACGCGCCAGTCCTTTGCTGCCGCCAAAGCAAGTAGCAAACAGACCAACTCCATGCGCGCTACTGGTGCAAAGACCTCCTCGAAGTCGATGCCCTCGCGCTGGACAAAGCCTCAGGCGACGAGGCGTGCCTTGTACTTGACAATGGCGCCGAACTCGTCCCTTTTGACTTTGTACACCCACTTCAGGCTGATCGGACGGCATCCTGGGGGTGGATCGATGAGCTGCCAAGTCTCGTTTTCCTCGATCGCCTTCATCTCCTCCAGCATTGCCCGTCGCCAGTTTCCATTGCGCTCGGCTAGCGTGAACGTGGGTGGTTCCTCTGCACTGACGAGTAGCAGCTCTGCGTTGTTGAGCAGCCTACCTGCCAGACCTGAGGGGCCTGTGCCGCCGATGATGTCGTCCAGCCTGCGGAACCTCAACTCCTCACCTTTGTGGTAGGCATCCACGAACTCAGTGATGTCACTTGGAGGTGAGGCGAACTCGATCGGGGGTGATGAAGTTCCTTCTTCCGCGGAGTGTGCCTGCATAGCACTTTGAAGTGCTCAAGATCGCTTCGATCGCTTTCGTCATAACTCCTGCAGTGTTCGGCCACCTTTGTAGGAGTGCCAGACCTCGATCTTTGAGTGGTCGGAACCACAATAAGACGTCTTGGCTCCACCACGGGAGTGCTCGGCACCCGTCCTGAAGTGGTCGCCACCACTGCAAAACCTCCTGGCTCCACTCCTGGTGTGCTCGGCATCCCTCCAGAAGTGCTCGACACTCCTCCCGGAGTGCTCGGCATCCCTCGTGAAGTGCTTGGCACTGCCCTAGAAGTGCTCGACTCTACCGCTGGAGTGCTCGGTGCTCCTCCTGAAGTGCGTGGCACCTATTCCGCAGCGTCTCCACCGCCGTGGATGACCAAGTGCTCGACGATGAAGGTGTTGGTGAAGCCTCCCGCTTCCCCCGTGCTCGGATCTGTGCGATCCCCAAGCCGCCTCCTCGTTGAACACAACGTCGCGCGAGACGATCACCTTGTCTCCACGTGGGTCATAGAGCCGATGCGCCTTGGTACCCTCCGCGTAGCCCAGGAACACCATGGGTGTGCTCCTGTCCTCCAGCTTGGTGAGGTTCGACTTCATATTTCTGATGTGGCCGATGCAACCGAATGTCCGGAGGAATGACACGTTCGGCTTGCTCCCGTACCAAGCTTCGAATGGCGTCTTGCCCGTTAGGGCTTTGGTAGGAGCGCGGTTGAGGATGAACACCGCCGTGGTCACCACCTCTCCCCAGAACTTTGCCGGCATCCATTTGGCCTTCATCATGGATCGGGCCATGCCGACCACTGTCTGGTTCCGTCGCTCCACCACACCATTCTGTAGGCGAGCGGCGGCGGCGTGATGTTGCCCCACACCTTGATCCGCGCGAAGACGTAGCAAATTCCACCAAGTGAATTCACCACCGATCGATCCTCGAGACACGGAGCTTCTTGCCACTCTCGGCCTCCGCGTCTTGAACTTCTTGATCGCCACCGCCACTTCATCCTTGCTCGTCAGGAGTTGCGACCACATGTAGCGGCGCAATCGTCCCTGGCGGAGGAAGTACCACCGACCACCGCGTATGTTGCAGGTGTGATCAGCCCGCAGAGGTCGCCATGAACTAGCTCGAGAGCTTCCTTCGCGATACTTGGCCGCCTTTGGGAAAGGTAGCCTCCTCTCGCTTCCCCGGAAGTCGTCACACGCCTTGCCTCCGTGTTTGATGTGGGGTAGCCCTTGGACCATCTTCCCCAGCCGACCAAGCGCGTCGAAGCTGAGATGTCCGAACCGGGCATGCCACATCCACGGTTCCTCAGAGTGCCTTGTCGCTAGGCAAACAGGCTGCTCTACCTTCAGGTCGAGCAGATACAACCGGTTCAGGGACCTCTTCACCTTGGCGAGAAGTCGCTGCTCCCGGTCTCTGATCCTCAGAACGCCGTCCTTGATTAGAACCTCGCTACCGTGCTCATCCAGCTGACCAATGCTGATGATGCTGGAACGCAGCTGCGGGATGTAGTATACATCCGTTAGCGCGTGGTGCTCCCCGTTCTGACATCTGAAGATGATGGTGTCGCGCCCTTGGATAGCCACCCTTGAGCCATCACCAAACTTCACCATACCGGTAACATCACCGTCGAGCTCAGAGAAGGAGTCCTTGGAGCCCGTCATGTGGTTACTGGCACCAGAGTCCAGATACCACCACTGCTCCTGGTCGACGCCCACATGCCCAAGATGGACTTGGGCGCATGGTTCATCGAGGTTGATGGTCTTCAGGGCCTTGCTAGATCCTTCCACCGTTGTCGCCTCTTCCCTCTCCATGGCCTCGACGTTGTGCTGTGCATAAAACATCGCCATAAGGATAGTGGCCTCATCCTCATCATCGGCTTTCGCCAAGTGAGCCTGAGCCTTCTTTTCCTTCTTGCGATTTGGGCACTCCCGTGCCCAATGGCCCATCTTCCCGCAACATCGACAAGCGTTGGAGTCGATTTGCTTCTTCTCCGAAGAAGCCCTACCGTGATGTTTGCCGTTGCCACCGTGACTGGAGGAGGCTGCCTTCCTAGAGTTTCGCCGAGCAGCCGACTCCTCTTCCGTCAGCTAGAGTTTCCCGCTGTCCTTCGTTGCTGTTGCCTGCTCCAGGCGCTCGTCCACCGCCTGCTGATGGCCTACCACATCCTCGATGGTGAGGGTGGACAAGTCCAGCATCGTCTCTATGGAGAGAGCGATCTGGATGTACTTTGCTGGTACGGAGTGGAGGAATTTGGAGACCGCCTCCTCTTCATCGATGGTGACGCCGTGGCTCTTCAGCTTGCTGATGAGCGTCTGCAGGCAAAGGGAAAAGTCCTCCACTGTTTCACCATCCTTGAACTTGAGGTTTGCATACTCCTGCTTTAGAAGCTGGGCCGTTGCCTTCTTTGCGCGGTCGGAACCGACGCGCATCACCGCAATGGCCTCCCACGCCTCCTTAGCTGAGCTCTTCGTCCCCAACGGTTCCCTGTACTCTGCCGGTATAGCAGCAAGGATAGCCTCCAACGCTGACATGTTATCTTTTTCCACGTCGGTGCCCTTGTCAACAGCATTCCAGAGCCGTCGGGCTCTGAGCTTGACCTTCATGGTCACCGACCACTCTCCATAGTTAGTGCGAGTCAGCGTCGGCCAAGTGGTGCCGCTGACCTCCCGCACCGTGCGGACAACTACCTTCGGTAGTGGCTGGACAGCTATGACAGTGTCACTGCCATCGCCCAACTCCAAACCGCCTGTCCTCACCATCGGTTAGAATGACGACGACGCTTGTACGGCTCTGATACCACTTGTTGGCCCACGGGATCACCGTCTGACGATAGTGAACTAGTCTCTAGACCACTAGTCTCAGACCACTAGTCTCCCAGACCACTAGTCTCCCAGATCACTAGTCTCCCAGACCAGACCACTAGTCTCCAGACCATACCACTAGTCTCCAGACCACTAGTCTCCCAGACCACTAGTCTCCTAGACCACTATACCGGTTGTGTCCGTACCCATACACTATGGATCGAGCTAGAAGAAGCAGGGAGAACAAAGCAAGCACGCACAATACAAGACAACAACGTTGGCCGAGGCCCTGTCTGTGTGATGGCAAATCTGAGCTCTCTTTACTGAGTTGCCTTGGTGCCCTATTTATACAACTATATCTATCTAACTAAAGTACAGCGCACATGCTATAACAGTAACTAGATAAACATATAGGGTTGACTCTGTGCCGGCCTCTGCATGTGCCTACAGTGCTGCAGGTGAGCCATGCGGCGCCTGCACCTGCAGCGGCTACAGTATTATAGCAGGGGGCAAAGTCAGCGCCGCCTCCCTCTACTGTGTTTCATACAAGGTGGCAGTAGATTAGCTAACAGTCAGGTCCCTACCTGATGTTCTCTGCTTCCCGGCGTCGACGAAGACGGCGATGCTGAAGCTACAGCTGTAGTTCGAGGGCGCGCCGCTGGACCTGCCGCGGGAGAACTACGTGTTTCCGGTCGATGACAAGAATAATGGTCAGAACTACGCGTGCATTGCGATACTACAGTCGCCCGGCGGGGACGACGAAAACACGACGACGGTAGGAAACTATCAGCAGCAGAACATGCACATACTCTATGACCTTGCTGGTAGCACGCTCGTTCCGTCCACAGCAGGCGCTTGACCCGGGCCTGGTGTTCAACGCCATGGGGCAGGACTGTCGACTTCCTGTGCACGCTCAACTACACCGCGGCGCACCTCCTAGGCCTAGATGCGGCGTCCCCCACCCCAAATCCGACGCCACAGGGGCCGGCGGGCACAAGGGTGCGGTGACCCGCAGCCAAACTTGTGTTGTGCGGGCAAGGGCCACCTCGCCGTGTGCGTGGGCCCCGATGTAAATGCTCATGGCGCTCCTGAAGCATCGCGCCTCTGCGGTGCTGCTGTGGGAGGCCGACCGTCTAAAATCGGCACTATGTCGTCGACTATAGTGTCGAAAATCTAACCATTTATGAAAAACCATTTCTAGGGTTCGTTGCTTGAGGCCTCGTTCGGCAGCACCTGATTGGTTCCAGACCAAGTTTTGATCCTGGCCAGGATCGAGTGAATCCTGGTTTGTCACTAAAACCTGGTGAATAATCATTCTTGGCCAGGATCAAAACCTAGTGAAAAAAAGAGTGTTCGGCTGAGAGAGGCAAGAAAATAGGGGTAGCAAAGATGTACTTGTAAGCAAGCAATGAACATCCAGAAACAACTTGACTGTAAATGACTCGCAAGTTACAAAAGATGGTAATCTGAACATTATCACAATCTTTAGCGACTGCACATATCTGAGCTGCATGTCAAGTAACCGTCCGCTCAAGTTAACACCACATCGAGGTTGCAACAATGTTATTAATGGTATATGAGTGACTGGGAGTTGGGAGCCACCAGGCAGTAAGTTTGCATCTGGTACTAGAACTCTAATAACACTACAACAGAAATTCGACATATACATGAGTAGAGTCGATCTCTTCAAAAAAGAAGACTAGGGGTTCCTACAAGCGTTTCTGTTCCATCATCAGAATTGCTCCACTCATGGGCGGATCCAACGGTGGGGCGGAGGGGCTCGAGCCCCCCTACCCATACCGGAGCTGTGGAAAACCCTGTAGAGCTCCATGAATTTTTAGGCAAAGTTCTATAGTGTAGGGGGGGGCTGAGACTTAAGATCGAGCAGTATATGTTGTTCAGTCCCCCCTAAAATATTTCCTGGATCCACCGCTGGCTCCACTCATAAACCACAGCCAGTCATATCCCCACCAGAGTGGTCCTACAAACAGGGCAACCAAAACACCAGTGGAACAAGTCAGTTGAGGGGACAAAACAAGCAAAAGCTACCATGTGCTACGGTGCTGTAATAGGCTAGTTTCAGCGTGTCAATTACAGCAGCTTGTGTGACGTGCAATAAAAACACCATAAGCAGCTCCTAATTCAAGCACGTCCTTGGACCTAGAATGAGCTACAACAAGTGCAGTAGCCCTGCTAATTGACTAAACCCACCCCATTCCAACCCCACTCCAAATAAAATGAATTTGTTTTCTCAACCCACCCATAGGTTGCTTTCATCCAATCCAACGTGCACAGTGGATTGCACCCATGGATTTTAACCAACAAATTAGCACCTAAGTAGGAATGGCATACTGCACAAACAAGCATACCAGACTTGTCCCTCACACGGTCACACCGTGTTATGTTGGATGAACACAATTGATCAATTTCAGACTTGTCCCTCACAAAAAGTTGCTGATGTGCTTATTAAACCAGGAGTTAACATTATTTTGATCATCCACAGGTGCAAATTAAACATGTACTGAAAATTCTTTTATATGCACTGCAATCAGCAAGTATAAGCCCATGAGTTAATTAAATTATATGCACTGCAAGTATAATAAGCAAGCTATAAGCACTGCAGCCTAGTTTTTTCAACTTCAACTAATTGAAAGCATGTAAAGAAACAACTACTCTACTACTACTGTAACTGGCCACTAAACTACAACTACTGTCGGCACACAAGTAAAAGCACTGACAACATCCACTGAACTCAGCAAGCAAACAACAGAGCAACAAAGAATTTAGCAAAGCACACTGCAGGTCAAACAAGAGATAAGATATTTAACTAAATCACTTTGCAAAGGCTAAACTATTGTCACTACCAGGTGTGCATAATATGGATGCTACTCTGAATCACATAAATGACATAACTACATTTTAATATTGACATCACAAATGAAAGCACTCTATCTGCAAGAAGCAATTTTGAACCTTACTACTAGCATTTAAGTTTGACATTGCCACATCATTACAAACCTACTACTAGCAGACTGCAGATATACTCCTTGATCTCAGCTTTCAACCTCACTGTAAAAGGACAGCAATTTTCAAGCTAAATGAAAGTAGCAGATCCCAGCTTTCAACCTGACTAGAAATGCATATCTACAGTCCAAATCCTCTTACTAGCAACTCAACTATCAAAATGTTCTCATCTCTAAGGGTTGCACAGAACTAGAAAATATTTCTTCTTTTAGTTTTGCAGTGACTAAAGGACTCTTGTAGTCAAATAGAAGGAAAACATCAAGTTTTCAGCAATTAAGTAGACTGACCTGTTAGACCATCGCACTTTTGAGCCAAACCAAAGTTGCTTCTCGATCTAGTTCACACCCACTTAGGAAGGCCTCTCTATTTTCTTTGCTCTTGATGAAAACTGCAAATGTTTTTACCTTCTCTTCCTTTGTCAATTCCATTGTGCTCAGAACAGATATACACCTTTTGATAGAGAAGTCATTACCTTCAGCAACCTCCTTTTCTTTGGCTAGATCTGCAGACTCATCTTGTACTTGCTTAGTCCTCATGTCTAGGTATCTCCCCATTATTTCTTCAATCCTTTCACCCTTCTTAGGTCTCTTTTCTTCCTTTTCATGTTTTTTGCTTGATGTAGTAGTAGTAGTTCTTCGCTGCCTACTTCTTTCAACAGCTATGACCTCATTTTCTTCATCTCATGATAGAGAACCTCGCTGTCCATTTCTTTCAACAGCTACAACCTCACTTGCTTCCTCTTGTATCTTAGTGATTGAATCATCTTCATCTAGTACCTCATGAACCTCAATGTTGTCCAAGTCATCTACATCATGAATTTATCGAAGTGGTGCTTCCTCTTGTGGTGGCTCAAGAGAAGTCAGATTGTAAGTACCTTCAGCCAAATGACCTACACGATAACAAGGAAATAGCTATAGATAGTGGTCTTTCCTCATGAAATTCAAGTATAAAGAGAACCAATATAGTTATGACCTAACTCTATAAAACTAGCATATTGTTGCTTAGTCATCAGAACTAGTAGACAAGTCAAGTGAATCATAGGATAATATAGATAAGCAAGATAGAAACAAACAAATACTAAAGTGAGAAGCAGAAAGAATATATTGATTGGTACTGTTTGCAACTATAGAAAGTGAACCTACCATCATAAAGCTCTCCCAAAGCATCAAATAGTGGAAATCTTGCCTTACTGTTGCGGAACTTCCTAATTTTAGGGAATGTCTGCACATTTAAAGAGAACCATTGATCAAATATGAGGTTATCACTATGAGGATATCCATAGAATTACTTCAAAAATTAACTTACAATTTCAAGGTTATCCCACATAGATGGTGATCCTTCAACCATATGCCTATCTTCATTCCAGGTGGCCCCACTCTGCCTCCTTGCCTCTTTGAGCATCCTATAGTCTTTCTTTAGCTGTCCTTCTTTGTCTTGAATCTGACTCTTTGTGTAGTTGACATACTTGTTCCTCAGATGGAACTCCTTCACCATTTTATTCCACCCTTCAGGGGTCCATCCGTTGTCACCTCTGTAGCCACTATCTTTATACTCATGGAGAATGTCTACCAGGGACTTCTCAAGGGCCGGATTCCAGTCCGCTCTTTGCTTTACTACTACGTAAACCATGGTCAGACATTAGGTTACCAAAAATCAGCAAATACAAATAACAGTAAAGAAATACCAGTTTATAGGTTATAGGTTTACTAAAACTACTATAATAGCACATGGTGGAATAAATTGTATAGAAGAGAATTACTTCAAGAAAGTTCTTTTTAGTAGTAAACAGCTGCAAAGAAATAACAGCAATAATAGCAGAGAAATAACAACAATAATGGCAGAGAATTAAACACCATACCTCTCGGAGAACCTCCTGTCTTCTTTGCCTTACTGTATTTAGGAGAAGCCTTCTTTTTAATACCACTTGTTGTACCCAAGAACCGGTGCAACTTTGGTGACACCCTTGCAATCATATTGAGCTTTGGGGAGCCTTTTCCAACCATCACTGTCAAATATGAGTATATGACACAAGCCTATTCACTTATTACAAGCTTATTCAATTATTACAAGCCAAGTTTATTACAAGCTTATTCATGACAAAAGCTTATTACAACCTATTCAAAGACTAATTTAAAGACTAAAAAGAAGTCTCTGCTTAATTATAATCCATGCTTATTACAAGCTTATTAACTTATTACAGCCTATTCAAAGACTAATTTAAATGTTCTTTGCATGAACCCACATTTCTTGGCGATGGTGTCTCTTAAAGCGTTGCCTTGTAATTGAACCCACATTTAGGTCATTCATTTGATCACCACTTGGTACAAAGCAACAAAGTTTCTTAGAGAGATATTATCCGGCTGATGATCTAACCATTCCTCATCTCCATGAAGTAATCGGATCAGATTATGGAAGATGGAAGCAGCTATAGGTATCTTCACTTGATTTTCCAACATGTGGAATGTGGCAACTTTCAGAATGGGGAAGCGCTTCTTAAGCACCCCCAAAGCCCTTTCCACATGGTTCCTTAGTAGTGTGTGGCGGTGGTTAAAGAGCTCCTTTGGGTTCTGTGGCCTTCGATGTCCAGCCCCAAATTATTTCAAATGGTATCGAACTCCTCGATATGGAGCAAGAAAAGATGGAGTATTTGCATACCCTCCATCAACCAGATAGAATTTGCCTGGAGGTACTTGGAAGCCCTTGCTCATAGCTGATCATAGCACTCTGGAATCTGTAGCCGATCCCTCCCATCCACTAGAAATGAAAGTGAAGTTGAGATCGAAATCACATGCCACCATCACATTAATGCTTAGTGTGCCCTTCCTATTTCTAAAAGGAGAAGCTTTCTCAGAGGCTATAGAAATAGGAATATGAGTTCCATCAATGACACCTAGACAATTCTTGAAAATGGATAGAATCTAGGATTGTCTTGGATTTTTTTATGCACTTGATTAGGATCAGGAGCTTGAAGGTAACGGCGAGAGAGTGCGGGAATGACCACCTTGAAGAAGTGGTTGATGTGATGATGGAAGGTGTCATTGCTGTGCCCAAAGAACACTTGGAGATCCTCATACGAGGCATTGTGACTTAACATGTATAGGAAGAAACCCAACTTCTCCTCCATAGTTATCCTAGTATCAACAACAAGCCTTTTGCTTTAAAGATAATTTGCCAATTCTCTAAAGATGCGTGGTTCCATCCTAAATGCAACTTGACAGTTCTTGACATGTCCCTCGAGGAGTCTACGAACTTTAACCTCGCCTGTTTCTTCTGAAGTATGACGTTTCTTCTTTTCCCCACCTCTAGCAGAACTCATAAGATATAAGGCAGGGAAAATAAATAGCATCATGTCATCGTCTTCTTCCTCCCTCCTCTTTCTAATACGATCTCGTAGTGAGAGACGCATTGTAGGACTTTAGCATATAATTTTATAGTCATATAGAAGCTAAATATTATTAACCATGTCATATAGAAGTTATATTATTGACCATGTCATACAGAAGCTGTAATAAAGATTATAGTCGTCTTATAGAAGCATATATAAACTTATAGTCATATAGAAGCTTTTGGAGTACCTTTTGAAGTTGGTACCGGATCCCAAGAAGACGGAGGTTCACCTTCCCCAACTCTAAATGGTGCTGGAGAGATCTACAAGTAATAAGAAACCATTTGGCAAATCAAGACATCATCTAGATAATAATACAAGTAACAAAGTGAGCTAATAGGCTAGGTATGTCAACTTCAGTCTTCACTACAGACTGAAACAAAGGGACATTCCTTTCCCTGGCGCGTGTTCGCAAAAAAGAGCAAATCAAAATAAGCTTGCAATGTGAATTCACTCAAAACATGAGTAAGCATCTAGGAGTAAGCCATGGTCACAATGAAGTTCAGAAACTGAATATAAGTTACAGCATTTCAGCAGCAGCCATGGTCACAATTAACACAAAATAAGCTAGCATGGATTATGACATATGGTAGTACGTCAACTTCAATTTTGCTACTAGGAGTATGCTACTAGTACTCTGCTACCTGTACAAGTCTTTGGTCCAATCAGTGCTATACTGATAGCATTGTGAACCATGAAGAAAACAATCGACACCCGAATCCAAATCCCTAACAATCGAAATACACCCATTCCATAAATCATTTTTTTCCATCGAAAAATACAACCATTCCAGAACATTTTTTTAAATGTCGCAAATTGGTACCGCATTCTCACAAACACGAACAAGGTTTGCAAGATTTCGTGATTAGGTTGCTGGTTTTCCTATCGAGGGCAAACTTGGACGGTACAACACGGGCAAAGAGTTGTCCATCCATAGGTCCCTCGTTCACTGTTCGTCATCCGCTGAAACCATCGAATCGAACATGTCGCCGTGGAGTGCAGATGTAATGGAACCAAAACCCCAATCACACATCCACAAATCCACGGATCCTAAGCGCTCTCTATGAACATTATGAGTGTTAGGGAGGCCGAGACACGACGCGCC